CTTGGGTTGTTACCAACATCTGGTGAAAATTTCATGTCATTAGCACCTCTAGTAATATATTTACTGAGAAAAATGGTGACGTGTTCAATACTTATTTTTCCTGCTGTATAATCTTCCACTAATCATGTGGTCTAAAAATGTGTTTTAAAGGCTGGATTGGCTTTTTGCAAAAGACTCAGAAAGATATCTTTTCAACCTCACTCCTTTTTTTACTTTATTGAAATATGAGTCAAAACAAGAACAAACAAACAAGTAAAATAACAAGTATGTCAGGGATACAAAAGTAAAAGTAATTACATAACAACCATATATTACATCTCAATATAGTCATACAGAATAAAAGGAACAAACTAAAAAAAAATACTAACTAACTAACTAACTAACTAACTAACTAACTAACTAACTAACTAACTAACTAAATAAATAAATAAATAAATAAATAAATAAATAAATAAATATGCAGAGGTTTCTGGGGAACATATAATTAGAAAGAAACATGTTATTCCAATCTTACTCCTCATTAACATAATCAGGCACCTATGACGTAAGGTAAATAAAAGTCTTTTTAAAATCCCCTTTTTAAAGCTGTTGTCGCGTCTTATTTTTACTACTATGTACGACTTTAGTGAAACACGCCTAAACACGTCAGAAAATGTTCAGCAAACCTCACTCCTCTGTCACGACACCGGCGCTAGCGTCGTCCTGGCGGGGGTGAATGTTGCGCTTCTATACCGCTTATTACGGCTAGGTATGTAGGTTTCACGACGCGTTCAAGTGCAACTCGTAAAATCGATCATCACCGCAGAAGTCCCCGTTTACTCAGAATGTCGAAGGAATCGAGTTTAAAAGCACAGTTCGGTTCTATAATGAGAGATTTGAAAACGATTCTATTTTTAGTTTACATTTCTTGAACTATCATCATAACACCAGTCATGTTTATACTACTATACACCTACTATGTAGGAAAATGCTTTAACAACAACAAAAACAAACAGGAAGCGCGCTATGAACTTTTTTTTGTTTTTTACCTGAGTCAAGATCAAAAACTTAAGGAGCCGTAATAAAACGTGTAAAAGCGCAATTTGTTTTTGGAGGAGTCAAGCGCAGAAGGCTTGACATCGGGGTGATGCTGGGTGTGGATACGTCAGAAAGTAAAACATGTAAAAGTGAATACTCACGGTCAACCTGAGCCCCTCCGGTGTAAGTTCTTGCTTGAGGCTGTGTCATGTATGTGCCTGGTCAGACAACAGCCGACCTGCTGTCAGCCCCGGCCGTGAAGCTGCAGGCACAAAGGGAGAAGCACAAACATCAACAGGGGAGAAAAAAAAAAAAGAGAGAATGCGGAAAACAGCCTGGGCTGAATTGGGCGATCAATGTTGTGATGCATTTACTGCCACCACCTGGTATGGAGCTGTGGATCAGGACAGCAGGTGATGGAAAATGTTGCCTATATGAAAAAAAGAATGAAACTATTTAAAATCTCATGAGCTCATGTTTGATATGCAGTGAAACACGTTAAAAGATGCTGAAACAAAAAAAAAATCAAAATGCGAGAGGACTCTTTTTGTTTTAATTTTAAAGGAAATGTCAACAAACAAATTGGGACAGAATGTTTCCCAGCAAGCATGTCTTTGAGCAGGATCTGAGACCAGTTCTCTGATCCAGATCAACAGTTCTGGGTCTTATCTGCTGAACTTTGTATGATGTCAGTGAGAGGTCTGGACTGCAGGCAGGTCAGCTCACACTCTTCTCCTACAAAGACATCATGATGTAATAGATGCAGTCTGTGGTTTAACACTTGCTGAAATACACAAAGCCTTCCACAGAAAGTCAACAGTAATGGGAGCAGTTCTAAAATCTTTAAATAACTTTCTGCATCGTTGGTGCTTTCCAGATGTGTAACCTAAACATACAAAGACACAAATGCACCCCCATACCATCAGAGAGGCAGACTTTTGAACCACTCATTGATTGATGATGAAGGAATGTCTAAAGTC